TCATCATAGCCTCCCAATCATCCCCATCCACCGAATTGGCTCCATCACTGTCTCTCCACTCTACCTATAGATTGTGTTTGAGTGCACTATCGTTGCTGTCCTTTGGTGGTCATTGCATCATCCAAGTGGATGCTGCACACTGGTGGTAATTTTGGAACCCCCCCCCATGATTGTGAAACGCTTTGGGTGTATGGCCAAATATAAATACACACATTACATTACATGTCTTTCATATGTCTGTGCAGAGTGATTCTGGAAGCACCGACTTCAGCTGCAGTCCACTCTTTTTGAATCTCCCCCATATTTTTCAATGGGGTTTTTTTTCGCTCTAGGGTGTGGTTATCCCTATTGCTTGTACACCTTTTTTTCTAATGTGCTTGGGTACAGAGCTCTGTGAACAGTGTGGCGGGATAAAGAGGGAAAATATACACACACTCGGAAGTGAAAGCCCTGGAGGGATGTTTATTTACAAGTGCATTCCGGTGTGTATGTGAAAGTGCAATCTCCGTTGTGCTTCCTTCAGTCCCCGAAAGTGCCGTGTTTAGGTGGTGATGATTATGGTGTTATCCTCGGGTCCGTGAAGGGGTAGCAGTGGGGGTGAGCTCCAATCAGCCACTCGATTCTGCGAGATAGAACAGAGAATTGTTAGCATGGAGGTTTCTTGTCAGAAGTCACTCACTCGCTTGTCCTCTCGTGCGGTTTAAATCTCTCTCTCTTCATGAGCGACCGGTGTGGCTGATTGGGCTTGAGGATGGTGCAGCTGGTGTACATTACAGACCATGGCGACGGGGAATTGGATGACTCGCCACACCAGCAGGCCTCTTTTGCAAAGACCTTTAGTGTGTTGTCTTCTTTGTGCAATGTGTCAATTTTTGTCTTTTGGACAACTGTCAAATCAGCTGTCTTCCCCATGATTATGTCCTACAGAGCTAGACTGATGATGCATCTCAATTCACATACTCATACTATACCATAAAAGTATGTACTTTTTTGTGATGGAAAAATAAATACTTTTGAGTGTGTAGCAGAATGTTATGCAAGCTCTGGGAGATATACTTCCTCGTTAACAGATTGCTTGGTTATGAGCCCCTGTCAATCATCCACACATCATCCACATTTCTGTCGTATTTAATTTCCCACCTTACTGGAGAAGCAGCAGCAGGTTAATCTGCTATTCACGAGTCTTTTATGCAGAGAAATCTTCCCAGGTCTTTAGATAATTATGCATTTATAAGTTAATGTCCAGACATGTCTTTATATAAGTTCAGTATTATTGTTGCAGATGAATTATAATACAGAAATGCTATTTAAATATTTTCCAGTTGGCTAGATATTTATTAACAGTCATTCTAACACCTTTACTGAAGTCTCTTTACTTGATGGTTGGTATAGTGCATCCATCATGTTTGTAGTTTATTTACACTTTTCACCCACGTTTGTAGTTTTAATCGTATTCATGTTCAAAGTGCAGTGTATTGTGGCCAATATCAGCACTTAGGGTGCTTTCACACCTGCCTTATTTAGTTCGATTGAATCGCACTAGAGTTCGTTTCCCCTTTTGGTGCGGTTCGTTTGGGCTGGTGAGAATGCAGCAATCGTACTCGAGTGTGCACCAAAAGCGGACCAAATAAGCGAACTGAGACCTGCTTGAAGTGGTGGTCTCGGTACGCTTTCAAACGAACCCTGGAGCGGTTCGTTTGTGGTAAGAATATGATCCGTACTAAAACAGGTCTAACCGCAAAAAGTACTGCGCGTTTTGGACTAATTCAGCTGCCGTAGGCTGATGCGCTGTGCATTATGGGATATGGAGGAAAAATATTTGTTGACAGCGCTTTACCAACAGTGAGAGAGAGGGGAAAACATTACCTGATGGACCGTTGGTAATGTTTCCGCAAGATGACCATGTTGACGTTTAGCTAAAGTAATTCACGCCTCCTCCTAAAGTGACGAGTGATGCATTAAACACTGTTTTCCAGCCGCGGCCACGCTTTATTTTCGTAATGTATAGTTTGTCTAAAGCAGGGTACAATTAGCCAGCGCAGTCGTCCCTCCAGAGTAGAAGGTTTTGTTTACCTGCGGGAGTTCACTGGCATTTTCCCGCACATGAATTCTGACCAATCAATAAGCAGTTAAGGAAATATGTTTAAAAGCATCTGGCCAATGAGAGATGTGGATTTTGTCAGATGACTGCATTTTGGTTTGTTTCAATTGGTTCGTACCAAAGCCAGCAGTGTGGTGTGAAAATGACCCAAAAACGACAGAAGATGCAACAATGTATCATTTATTGCGCTTGGCCCGGACCAAATTAAGCGATCTACAGATGTGAAAGCACCCTTAGAGTATGGACGGTTCTAAACTTTCAGTTTTTACCAGACATAATAAACCATCCGGGAACCTATGGCTTACTATTTTCAACATGCTACAATTTGGAACATACTAATTCTATTTACAAATACTATTTAGTATGCGAATTGGGACGCAGCATGAGAGCCCATTTAAAGGCCTTTGCAGGTGTTTTGAGTTCATTAGCTGATTAGAGTGTTGCCAATACTAAACATTTTCACAATATTTAAATTTTCTCAGATACTGAGTTTGGAGTTTTTATTAGTTGTCATCAAAATGAAAAGAAAAAAACCTTAAAAAAAAAATATCAGTCTGTGTGGAATAAATGTGTACATTATACAAGTTTCACTCCTTGAATGGAATTAGTGAAAAAAATCAACAGTTTGAAGATAATCTAATAAAAGGACCTGTAAATCTGTTCATTAAGTTGAAACAAAACGTGGACTGGAGGAAGTGGTTTACGTTTGAGCTGAAAAATGCAAACAGTAACATTTTGTGCTCATAACAGGTGTGCAATCAGAACGATTTGTAGGCCTAATTGGTTCACTCAGTTCTCAAATGGTATGTCTTTTCAATACAGAGGAATGCTGCTTTGAGCTTCGTATACAAGCCTACTGTATTAGTCAAACAATACAGTTTATTGTAGCTATTGTTTTATTATTACTTTTACATTTAATATTAAGCTAATATATATACAGCAGGAGTCAGAATTATTAGCCCTCCTGTTAAATTTACATTCTTTTATACGTCCTCCTGAATATCTGTTTAGGGAGAGAAGTTTTCATTGTATTTTTAAACAACTTTCTGAAGATATTCTGATTTTATGATCAGTACTTGAGGAAGTGGTTTGCAGAGAAATGCAAACAGTAACATTTTATGCTCGTAAACAGGTGTGTAATTAGAAAGATTTGTTGGTCTTTTTGGTTCGTTCAGTTCTCAAATGGTATGTCTTTTCAATACAAAGGAATGCTGCCATGAGTTTAGTATACAACCCTACCAAATTAGTCAAACAGTTTTTATTGTAGCTATCACTTTTATATTTAAAGGTGCTTTATGTAAGTTTTTGACTCTTCTGAAGCATAAAAATGCCATATGTTTGCAGATGTTTAAGAAACATGCCAAGTGAACATTCTTGTTTATCTGAAAAACAAAGCTGAAGTCTGATATTCTGCTTTAAAAATGGGCGTTACATGCTTGAAAGCTGTTTTTGTTTTGGTTAATATAACCTTCCCAATGCCAGTTTAGCCAATTATATTTCAGCACTCAGGGTTGCCTTGCTGGAAAACACGTATTTCATTCATTCATTCAGGAAGGCTCTCAAAGCACCCGTCCTTGACCGAAATGCGACCTCCAGTGGACAGTAGCAGACTCCGAAATGAGACTGATTCAGTTCCACATGAGGTTATTAATAAGCAAATTATATAAATATTATGAACGTAAACATTAGGTGAGCAGGTAACATTGTAATCCTGTGTCCTAACAACACGCTGCATGACGAGATTTGCAGTGATGAGCAATTTGGCTGTTTGCACCAGACGAAACACGACAGAGATTTCAGAAGCACAGAATATGCACTCACGAAATTGTAGGGGTTATAATTTAATTAATACAGATTAAACCTTTTTAACATTATTAAAAGTAAATTATTTAATTCTAGCTGAAATAAAACAAAAGACCTTCTCCAAAAGGAAAAAAAATTATAGGAAATAATGTGACAGATGCCTCGCTTTGTTAAACCTTGTTTGGGAAATGTTTGAAACGAACAGTTTCACAGGAGCGCTAATAATTTTGCCTTCAACTTAAATCCTAAAATCGCCCCTGGTTTATTATCTTAAAATAATTTTTTATTCATTTCAATTACTATTATCTGTTACTATGGAACATTTTCATTGATTTATGAGAATGCATTTCAGGTGTTCAATATGTTGCCTGTCGCTCCTGAAAACAAAAGAAATAGGAGCTGGGAAAGTGCTTAAATCATGTAAACCAAAAAAAAAAAGATGACATATTGGCTGGTTGTCAATATACTGATTCAAAACACTATTCCTCAGTTTTTTTCGGGACAACTTAAAAATTTTATGTTCAATACACTTAAAAAATTGTAAAAACTAATAAGTTAACTTAATTCCTTCATGTTGCCCTAACTTTTGCATTCCAAACAGTCGGTTTGTGTTAGGATAACATGGAGGATTTATGTTCACTTATTAGTCTTTACAAGTGGGCTAGGTGCACAAGATGATGCCTGTAAGTTTCCGAGATGCAAGTGTGTGTGTGTTTACTTTCGGTTGTACTTTAGCATTAACAGGGAAAGAATGAAAGCAAGGCATGCAGCAATGTAGTGAGGGTGATCTCTCCTGTCGCTGATAAACTACTTTGTTTTTTTATTTTAAACATGCTCATTTGGTAGCAAAAACGGAAAATCTTCACCTCTTACCTCATAGTTCTATACAACCGGAAGTAAATGCGCACACACTCGCTTCTCGAAAGCTCACCAGCGTCATCTTGCGCTAACAGCCCATTGTATATAAAACAGTTAAGATGTCACAAAGAATTGTGTTGTCAGCTCATTTTAATTAAGTCATTTAAACAAACAGCAAACATAATTTTTTCCAGTGTATATCTGCCTGTCTGAACTCTGGTTTGTGTGTCTCCTCCAGGCTGTTTGTTCATGTGTTTCTGTTGGGCAGCTGGACGGCTCTCCTCGTGAAGGCTGTGCTCACCGGTGCCATCTCTCTCTGTTCTCTTTTCCTGTTCGTCACACTCGTCCACAGCAACTAAAGGCTGCCAACACACTACAGTTCAAGTATTTACAGAGCAAAACCCACATTCCTAGAGTGAATACTGTCGACTGTATCTGCCATACCAAAAGGAGGCTGTGAGATTATTACTGTTACTAGCGAACTTGGACAGGAATGCACGGGGCAGTTTTGGGAGAAAATCCTAGTGGTGTAACAGAGATACTCTGAGAAAGATCTTTTTTTAATGACAAACTAATTTATAAATGTAGACCAGATGGGAATAATTCTTTGGCTTTTTTTGTATGGTAGTGTTTAGTTATCATGAATTAATAACTAAATAAACGGACACCATATTGATAAATGTTTTCACTCTCTTATTACTGAACGATTTAGTTTATTATTATGATTATTTTTGGTCTCCTTTAAATGGGTTTATGAATTTTCATTTTTTATTTTCACAATTGATTTTGCTTTAGGTTGTTTTTTTTTTTATGTTTTCAAATATTATCTGAATATATCATTTCATGACATGTAGGAATATAATCATATAATTGACAGTATTAAACCAATCAGAATGACTGGAATTTATTTATCCAAAATCAAACAAATTTCCCAGTGATGGGTTGCAGCTAGAAGGGCATCCGCTGTGTAAAACGTGCTGGATAAGTTGGCGGTTCATTTCTCTGTGGCAACCCCTTGATGAATAAAAGGACTAAGCCGAAAAGAAAATGAATGAATAAATGAAAATCAAACAAAAAGTGCTCAGGGGTAGCTTAAATAATGTGTCCGTGCTCTTTGGTTAAGGGATTTATCAGCACACACAGCAAAAATCAGTCCAAGGCACTAAAAATATGCCTTGTGTGCAGTTTTAAGGAATAGCTATGTCAATAAAGGCTTTTGAATATTTTTTCCACATTTTTTGAGTGTCTTGGACAAAATTTTATTATATTTTAGTTGCATTTTTATTTGTTTTAATTAAATTTTTTTTTTTTTGAGATTATTATTAAATTTATAGCTCATGATTCTATTTTCAAAAAAAAATCTTAAATAAAATTACTTGGGAAATGTTCAGCGAAATAGATAAAGTTTTATTCTGTTGTACTTAGTAGGCATACATGTTTATCAGCAAAAAAACATCAAATATTCTGTTTTTTTAATGTTTTTTTTAAGAAAATGTTTTTGTTTTGTTTAGTTTTTTTTAATGGAATTTTTACAAAGTTGCATTACCTTACTAAAAACAATGGCTTTTTAAAAATAAAATAAATAAAGGGCCACAGCCACATCATCCTGCAGCCCAAGACCAGTTACTCACTAAAGCGAAGCAAGGCTAAGCCTGATCATTACCTGGATGGTAGACCTCATGTGAAAAATAGGTTGCTGTTGAAGGGGTGTTAGTGAGGCCAGCAGGGACCGCTTAACCTGCAATCTGTGTAAGTCCTAATGCCCCAGTATAGTGAAGAGGACACTGTACTCTCAGTGAGCGCCATCTTTCTGATGAGATGTTAAACTGAGGTCCTGACTCTCTCTAGTTATTAAAAATCCAATGGCACTTAGCCTCTTTGTCCTGGCCAAATTGGGTGTCCAAGGCCTCCCAATCATCCCCATCCACTGAATTGGCTCTGTCACTATCTTTCCACTCCACCTATAGCTGGTGTGTTGTGAGCACACTGGTGACGTTGTTCTGTGGCTGCCGTCGCATCATCCAAGTGGATGCTGCACACTGGTGGCGGTGTGGAGAGACCCTCTTCATGATTGTGAAGCGCTTTGGATGTATGGTCATACACGATAAATGCGCTACATAAATGCACACAATACATTACAAAATGCTTTAATAAAATTATAAACTTCATTCAGCTAAGCTCGAAATTGGAAAGATTGCAATGAGAGTGTTAAACCCTTTTTTTAAATGCTCTTCTTGAGCTTAATATTAAGCATTGACAACATCAGTGTTGATTGCTATGCATCTGACCTCAGTTAACCAGGGACATCTACAGAAAAACCTATTAAATAATCAGTTCAACCCGACCTCTTGATAAGTTGAACAAAGTCTCATCTATTTTGAACCCATTATGTCACATGGAAAATACTGTATAACCGCTAACCTGTCTTTAAATATGCTTTCACTATTGGCTAATCAAAGAAAGCCACCCCCCCCCCCCCCCTTTGAGACAGAAGATTACAGTCATTTATATAACATCTGTTCATGGCATGATTGACATGACTGACTTTTCATTAGGATTGGATGTTTCATAACAATCCTCTTTCACTTGTAATACAAAGTTCAGATTTTGATTACTTCTGCATTTTATTTGAGTCATGTTTTTATTCCAGACCAGCATCTAGTCAGTCATATGAGACTAACTTTGGGTAAAGAGGCTTTCACTTTCTCTAAACTGTGTGAACTTGCAGTATTAATGCCCTGGTTAAGGTTAGCTTCGGGGAAAGTAGTTATATACTGTATAACCTATTTTGTGTTATGACCATGTACATGTAAAACAAGAAGTACCAGTTTTGATACACTTTTTTTCTATTTTTCATCCTAAAGTGAATGCTTAATCTTAAAAAAAAAAAAAAATAAATAAATAAATAAATAAATATATATATATATATATATATATATATATATATATATATATATATATATATATATATATATATATATATTACATATTAACATCTTTAATTTGCTTTTTATAGTTTGTATTCCATTCAAAGCAATTTTAGAGAGCATGGTTTTAAGCCTCAAACAAATGATTTTGCGTGTGTTGCTGACTTTTTTTTTTTGAGTGAATGAATGAACGTTATTGGAAATATGTTAGAGATTTACACTGTGAAACGTCTGTGTGTGTGTTTGTCAAAATTGTGATTAAAATCGAAATCACAATATTGTTCAGGAAAAACGTGAAAGGTTTCTTTTGCCCAAATCACACAGCCCTATTAACCGTCCTAAGTACTATTGGAAAGTAAAATTAGTCTGTCCCAAAATGTAAAATGTTGAAAAAAATGCCAAAAGTTCAGGAATAATCAACTATTTCTGATAGAAATTCGATGTATAGAACCATTCGTACTCTGTCCGCTAATATTGCCCACAATACATGAACGTGAACTCCACTAGAACTACAAACTGGTAAAAAGTTTAAAATAAAAAAAACTACAAACATGGCAAACTGTTGGCCAAGATGACTATTAATAAATATATTTAAATCCAATTTTCTGTGTTATAAAACAACAATGAAAACTTCTAAAAAGATGCACTGTAAAATCTAAAAGTTTAAGGTAACTCAAACCATTTAAGTTCAACTAATCCTAATGAGTTCTATGAACTTAAACCATTTGAGTAAATAAAGCAATTTAAGCACAGTGAAGCCCAATAAATGAAGAGAACTCAAACCAACTGAGTACTGTAAAACCCAGTAAGTTAAGGCAACTCAAACCGTTTGAGGATACCGATTGCAACAAACCATTTAAGTTAAACTAATCCATATGAGTACTGTGAACTTGCTCCATTTAAGTTAAAGTAATGAGGAGTTCAAAACCTTTTTCAAATGAGTAGAATTACCTTGATTTGAGTTAACACTTATTTCTTTTTATAAAGTTGACTGTTGGGTTTTTCAGTGTATGTTTGGACTTTATCTGCTGAAAGCATAATTATACACAGACCTGAATAGATTTCTCTGCAGTTGAGACTCGCAGATGGCATTTTAACCTGCTACTGCATCTCCGATAAGATAGGCAAATATGAAGGAATTGTTGATGATGTGTAAAGATGATTGACAGGGGGTGTAACTAAGCAACATAACGGTCCGTTAATGAGGAAACTTTGTCTCAAAGCTTGCGTACTCTTCTGTTAGACACTTAAAAGCTGGTTAATGCTGTTGAAGTGTACATTTTTGTAATAGAGAAAGTACATACTTTTAGGACATAGTATGTGTATGCAAATATAGTATTTCTTTTCCTATCATGGAGGTCAATGGCTGCAGGCAATCAACATATTTCTAAATATCTTCTTTTGTGGTCAGCAGAAGAAAGAACTAAGGGTTAAAACCACACTAGGGAGAGTAAATGGTTAGGCATTTTCCCATTTTTGGGTGAACTAACTGCATCAATGAACGGTATGTGCTTACAAAAGAAATAGTGTTTGGTTTAGGGTTTATTTCAGCTTAATTTTACCATTTTTAATTCTGGCTATTAGAAGTTGTAGTATAAAATGCATATATACTGCTTGCTTATCAGGTATTAATTAATACGTGGCATCATCTAAGGCAAACTAAAGAGGCCTTGTTGTAAAGTGTTAAAAGCAATGCAGAAGAATTGCTTTGCTGTTTACATTAACCAGCTTCCATTCCAGACAGGCTTTGCATTCCTGCAGCATAATTACTCATAAATTATTAATGCAAGGCACATGAATAGACTAGTATGAGAAATCTGGATCATAATGAACAGGCATTTGGTCAGTAAACTGTTTATAATACATCTCTGCTGGATAAAGATGTTCATAACCAGTCCTAAGGTTCATTTGCGTCACTCAGGATGTATAATGACTTTATATAAGATGATAGATCAGTGGTTTTCAAAGTGGGGGTCGGAATCCACCAATGGGTCGCGGGACAATGAAGGCGGGTCGCCTGGTGATTTCCAAAAATCAATCTATTTTTATTAAACCGTAAGAATTACCATATTTTATTCATAATCTACTGCTGAGAAAAAAAAAGTTGTTTATAGTTACTTTATACTATATAGTTACTAGTTCTGTTGAATTGCGACCCCTGGGGTAAATACATTATATTAAAGACGGCAATAGCGTCATATGCAGCAGATTGATTTTATAATACCAGGTTAAACTCTCTGGCTCATTTACAGCACTGACGTACATTAAAAATTAAACAAAGAATATACTTGTGGCTATTGGTGTGTGTGCGCCATTGCATGCAAGATTTCTGTAAGTATAACCACCTCAGAAGATATTGGGGGTGGCGAGTCACTTGCATTGTTATTTTGGGGGTCGCGGGCTGAAAAGTTTTGGGAACCCCTGTGTTAGGTGATGAAAAATTTCTATTTAAACTTACTATAATTAATAATTTCTATTTGTAAACCATTATTAGAAACGTTTGTCTATTTTATGATTTAATAATGCCTAAATGTCTGTTTTATTTGACTTCATAACAGTATGAACAGTATGCTGTGATGTCTGTTGTGGAATGATGCAATCTTGAGATTGATAAGCTTATCTTTCTGTCTGTTGTTTTTTCATAACCTGGTTTTGCCTCATCAGTTAGTGCAGTCGTAATATTTACTTTTTGTTGAGTATAACAAAGCAGCTTTGTGCATTTAAAAAGGGGTGTTCATTCTCTCATGAAAACA